AATATGCGTTTTTGCTGCCTGTTGCAGCGCTCTAGCGCTGCACGGCAAAAACGCATAAAAACGTACCCTGCAAACAAATTACATTGAAATAGAAACAAAATAAGAGATAACGAAACGAACACAAAGACCGATGAGGCGCAGAGCAGGCTTGTAAGACACAACACAATTATTGAGGTGAGCGCATATTCGTCACGATTCGTAAAAGCAAGTGCAATGAGCGCCAGAAATTGACAGTACTGATAACAGCACCACAGCGGCAACGACAAACTCCAGAAAACACGCCAGCTCCTCGCAAATTCATTGAAGTACCTGAAGATATGAGCTTCAATGTGGTGTTACGGTGGTCCATCGTTCTTTGAACACGAGCAGTCATGACACAGTGCGATCGTTTATACTTCTCCCCTTCACCTGAGTTAAATAAATAACGGAACGAAACATAGTAGCCGGTGCGGCGTTTTGCACAGTTCTGTTCAGCGAACGTTTACCTGCTAAGGATTTTCACTGTCTTGCACTTGGTCTGCGCAAAAAGAGTAGATATGTTGCTGGGTCCTCAAGTTGCGAAATTTCGCATCAAAAATTTTACGTAGCGGTATGTGAAACGCAAACGCATGTGAAAGATAAATTCGAAAGTTTGTACGGTTAATATCGTTCTAAAATTTCAACCTTTTAGTTACTTGCTTCCGAGTAACCTTCTTGTCAAAACTTTCAAATGGTCGTACTTGAGAAGTCCTCGTATTTGGGAGCTAAATTTGATTTTTTCAGGCCTACGCATAGGCAAAAAAAGAAAATTCTCCTGAAGTTTTCAGCCTCCAAGCTTTCGTGGTTCCCGAGACAGTAATTTTCCTCACAAAAACTTTCATGGGGCTGTAGTTGAACCAAAGCGCGCAGGAAGGCTGAATTTAAATTTTCCAAGTCGTAGGTGAGGAGAATATACTACTTTAAAACTCCAGCTTTCCAGCTTTCGCAGTTCCGGAGATAATAATTTTCCCTGCCAAAACTTTTGCAGGATTATATGTGGTACCCCGGGGAGGAGGTACGTGAAGGCTGAACTTAAGTTTGCGGGATCGCGCATGGGCGGGGAGCATCCTAATAAAATTTTAATTTCCCAGCCTTCGTAGCCCCTTAATTGGAAGTACGGGATACATACATACATACACACACACGCGCGCGCGCACACACACACACACACACACACACAACACACACACACACAAACACACACAGACAGAGACATTACAAAACGCATTCTGTGATGCTGTTAAACAGAGCAAAATTCATAAAAATATACGGATTATTCATTTACCAAGCAATAATCAGGACAGAAGCAGCAAAAGCTGTGAGATCAACCGGTGCGGATGCAGTTAAATATGATAAGACATTTAGAATGGCCGAATAAAATCCATTCATTACTTCCTGCCTTGCCTGGCCACCAAGCAACGGCGCTGCAACATGTATTTTTCAAAAACTACCAGAACTTTCACATTAAAAACCCGAAGAGGTTAGAAGGCTTGTGTTTTTAAGCCAATAAGAACTATATTTCTTCATATAGAAGCTGTGTCTTTTCATACCCTTGAAAATTACTCTGCCTTTAAAATCCAATTAATTACTATTTTTAATTAGGAAACTAAAAGATGACAATGGGTTCTTTCAGAAAATATTCTCGAAATTTTTAATATCAAAAATCTTTATCGTTAAAATCATTTCGGTGGCATGAAGTTCCCCGGACCTCCAAATGTCGCTACATTAAAAATTGTGCTCTTTGCCCTCACACAAATATGAGGAGCTAATTTCAACTTCGCTTACTTCTACTTATTCAAAACTTCCCGATCACTACAAAGCAGAATTTACCATAGATAACAGTAAGAAATAATGCAGTCAGAGAAAAAAGAGCGCAGAAAATGATGAGCCACGATGCAGTGTTTTGCGGCCACCACCAATCGTGGCGAGTTGAAAACTGAGCGATTCGGAAGCTTATGAATAAAGTACACAAAGGCAATAATAGCAATCGCATTGAAACAATACAGAATGACCAGTGCAGTGACCGAAAAGAACGCCTAAATTCAGAACCGCGTCATAAGACTGGCTTCATCAAGCCAAGGCTTTAAAAAAGTTCGCTTCGAACAATGATTCCGAAAATAAGGTGAAGGTGAACACTAAACTTAACAAGACGAGAAATTTGTAGCAGCAAGGTGGACGCCCATTAAAACACAAAGGCTGCTGTTGTGGGACTGGCCGAGCAGCTTCGATGGTCGGCTGAGATGCTTCGACATCAATACCGGCCTGAAAATTTCGGTTGTTTAATCATAAAAAGCATTTAAGTAGCCAGTCATCTGGTGGTCCAAATGACTCCTCCTCAGATAAAATATGTCTTAATTTCTCAAAACTCAAATATTATCGAATAATAAGTAGCATGACATTTCTGATGTGTTTATGCTTTCTAATATTTTACTGATAAAAATAGAAACAATTAGTACTTTGAAGAGATCAACCAGTTTCAATGCTTGCTCCTGTGTTTCGCGGTAACGATCTGTAGTCTCTCTGTCAATTGTTGCAAGAGACACTGGAATTTCATAATTTCAACTTTTAACGGCGTAACATTAGCTCTTGTTAATGTAATTTGTTGCTGAAGAGATAAGAGATAAGCTTACAATAATAGATTGCTGGATTTTCATTAGCTGGACACGGGAAACCAATTTGTCGGAAGTATAACGGTAGCTCCTTTGTGAATCCTGTTAACAAAGCAAAATAAGATTACACTAACATTTCAATTAATATGCTTCCAACTACAGCTCATAAAATAAGCATCTATAGCGGCAACTTGTTTCCTACACGCATCGGACCCGTTTCCTTCAATGCATTACAGTAACAAGGATCCAGCTGAGTTGTACCGGAAGAAAAAGTTTGCTTGTTATCTAGAAAAAAGGTGTAGGTGAAAAAATTTTCAAATGGTGAATCAGGTGAAAAAATTTATCTAACGAAATCCAAATTGCGAAAAAATAATCATTCAAGTAAAAGGATCAAACGACAAGATGCAAAATTTATGTCTTTTGTTGACATTTTTTGCCAAAAATTAGTTTCAGATTTTTTTCACCATTTTCTGAGAATTTGCTCCAGTTTAAGTCCAAATTCGTGCTTTAGAAATCTTATTTTTGTCTTCCGGTAAAGAAACACAAATAACAGTAGGTGAAATTTTCTCAACCTCGCTTTTACACATCTTTTTTTTTCCACTTAAAATACCTTTGCTGCATTTTAAAACAGTTGATGACAAATAATCCAAAAAAATAATTAAACTTCACACAACCTACTTTTCTTTGAATAAACTGCATTTACTTTCTACAGTTCAGGAAAAAATCACTTGAATCGAAAAAAAATCTCAAAAACGGAATTTCTGCGATGAAGCTACTATCGTTTACTTGCAGGTCCCCGAAGTTTCTCAGAGGTATATTAAATTTGGTTTTAATATTACCTTTAAAAGTGAAAAAATCCTATATTAACCAAAAATTAAGATAAATTACTTTATGAGCCCATGAGCTGTTAATTGATGTGCCAAGAGATGTAGTTAAAAGCATAAACTACCGAATGTATTCAGCTTGCTTCGGCACTTATAGACCCGAGCAGTAATGCACCAGGCTTGTCAGTGGTGTCATGCATTTTTGCGTTGAACACGAAGCGATCGGATCACTAGCAGTACAAATGTTCATTGCTTTACAATTTAACATGCGCGCTGGCAATGCTTTTGCCTTTTCAGGCACGTAAGGGAAAAGGGACGTCTGGTGGAACGGTAGTGTTGCATCCCGGGGTCGTGTGAAATCTTAACCTTGACATGTGTGATTGTCGTGGATTTTACATGGAGTTGTCGCAAAATGCAATCTGAAGTTTGCCACATACATGTGGAAGAGCTAGGCTTTTGTAAAAGCTCCTTTTATGATTTTTTTTAACGTTTTTAGTGGCTAGAAGACACGGCATCATTCTCGTAAATTTCTGCTTCCTTAGCTTTTGATTATCAAGAGAGAAGGTTGAAGAAGTACTGCAGTCTAAACACTTGATGCGTCCGTACGTGGAGGATATAAGACAGAAGCTACACTTACAAACTTGCATGCGAAAAGTAAGCATTCTTACAAAATTGTGGCTTCCAAATCGTTCTGGTTGTAGAACAAATGAGTGTCAAAATTGTCCAAAATTAGAAATTCACCTGAGCATAATACTGGACATAGGCGTCCTTGAAGAAAAACCTTAAAATCTTCAGGCACCAGATAGGCATAGAATAATCTCGTAAAATTTCAACTTTCTTGTTTGTTCGCCCTCGAAATTACCACTTCTCCACAAATATTTCTGACGTGCTCTAACACATGATACAAATGGTTCCAAAATCCTGTTTAGGTATATGAGCCTCTACATGAACGACAAATATTCTTGCAAAATTACAGCTATGTTTTGTCAAATAATTTTCGAGTTAGACGACTGCCAACGAAGAACTCGGAAGCATGCACCATAAGTGAATTTGAAATTTTTAGGTCACACACGTACAGGGGACATCCTCGCAAAGCTACAGCCATCTAGGCAGACTGGTCCTCGAAATCGCTTCCTGTCAAAAATCCACATATACTTTCTCTTCGTCATCCGCATGCAAAATCCAGACGTACGTGAAGCTGATTTCAGATTGTAAAGATAATACATGGGGAGAAAAATGTTCGTAAAAATCATCTCCCTAGCTTACCAAGTTCGCAAGTTGAAAGTGGATGACAAAAAATGCGAACACACGAACGCAACACATACACAAACACACACCGACAATCTCTTGACAGTATGATTTTTTGCTTTCTATTGCAGCACTATAGCGCTGCACAGCTAAAATACACAAAAAATCTGAGAAGGCTAACATCAGGTTACGGTGAAGACAGGAACGAAATATTAAGATAGCCTAATTCCAGTCCCAACTGCTGCCTTTCGTCCCTGCCTACCTTCTCCCCGCATTTACTGTTTTATCCACAGACATAACCGAGACACATCGTTTTGGAACGACAGTTACTAAA